GCACTATGATCTGATAATATGATATAATTTCAGTTCTTTTGCATTTACTTGAGCATGTTCTATGAGCTAGTTATGTGGTTTATTTTGGAGAAAGTTCCATGTATTGCTGAGAAGAATGTGTATTCTGTTTTGTGGTGGAACATTCTGTAGATATCTGCAAAGTCCATTTGTTCAAAGATTTGGTTCAGCTCTCATATTTCTTTGTTGATTTTTTGTCTAGTTGTTATGTCTATTTATATGACATGATATGTCTATTTGTGACAGTGGATATTGAGGTCCCACATAATTGTGCTTATCTGATTTTTTATAGACTAGTGTTTGTTTTATATAGCTGAGTACATCAGTATTTGGTGCATATATATTTATGATTGTTATCTCTTCTCTTGTTTCCCTAACAAGTGTGGAGTGACTTTCTTTGTCTCTGTCTCAGTCAGTCTTGGTTTTAAATCCACTTTGTCTGCATGGAATAGCTACTTCTGCTTTTTTTCCAGGTTCCTGTTGCATGGAGTATTGTTATCGATTCTTTAAGTTTCAGTCTGTGAATGCCTGCCTGTCTGCCTGCCTTCCTTTCTTCCTTGACAGGGTCTTGCTATGTAGTTTAGGCTGATCTTAAACTCACTATGTTGCCCAGACTGGCCTCGAGCTCATGGTAGTCTCCTTGCCCTAGCCTCCCAAATGCTGGGATTACAGCTGTGTGCCACCACACCTGGCTTGTGAATTTCTTTTTGAGTTAAATGTGTTTCTTGTATGTAGCATATTGTTGGATCTTGCTTCTTGATCCATTCTGCCAGTCTGTTTCATTTGGTGAATTGAGACCATGAACATTGATGGTTATAACTGATATGTATTGTCTTATCTCTGTCATGATATTTTCCTGATGTTGGTTCTTTCTTTCCTTTTCTGTTTAATTTCTTGCCTTTCCTGGTGGATTCATTCTGTTGGAGTTCATGGAGTTGTAATCTTTGTTGTTTCTTTCTAGAATACCCTTCAGAACATTTTGGAGTGCTGGCCTTTTGTAATCTTTGTTGTCTGTTTCTAGAATACCCTTCAGAACACTTTGGAGTGCTCATTTGGTGGCCATGAATTTCTTCAGGTATTCTTTGTCGTGAAAATATCTTATTTCTCCATCAATTTAAAAAAACAGCTTTTCAGGATATATCATTCTGGGTTGGAGGTTTCCTTTGGGGCTTGAAATTCTTCAAGCTCTCCTTGACTTGAGAGCTCATGTTGAGAAGTCTGCTGTGATTCTGATGGGCTTTCCTTTGTAGGTGTTTTGTTTCTTTTCTCCAACAGTTTTTAATATTTTGTCCTTGTGTTGAATTTCTGGAATCTTGACTATTAAATGCCTTGGGGAAGATTTTCTTTTGATCATGGCTAATTGGAGTTCTATATACCTAATTTATCTGTATGTCAAATTCTTCTTCCTTGTTTGGGAAGTTTTCTATCATAACTTCTGTGAACACGTTTTTATGTTGTATTTGCTACCTCCTGCTTTTTCATTGACTTAATCAATCTTAAGTTATTATTCATTGCATCATCTAGTAGCTGTTGGATTGATTTCTTGTCGTCCCTTGCTATTTTGAAGAAACTTTTCTTTTCATGATGGATAACTGCAATCCTGTCTTCCATACTGATACTCTGTCCTCATATTGCTTCATTCTGCTCCATATACTTTTAATAGAGTTTTTTTTTGTTTTGTTTTTGTTTTTGTTTTGTACCAGGGGTTGAACTCAGGACCTTGTGCTTGCGAAGCAGGTGCATTGCCACTGAGCTAAATCCCCAGCCCTCAGTGGAGTTTTTAATCTCCTGGATATCTGTTTGAATCTGTGTCGTGGATTTAATTTCTTTCCTATGCTGGATGTTTCATGGTTTCCATTTCTCCCCTATGCTAGGCATTCATGGTTTCCACTATGTTCCTGGGCTCCTCTATTTTTTTTTTTAAATCTATATCTGCTCTAGGGCCATTAAGCATGTCTTTCATTCTGGTCACCATCTCTGTAGTTATCTTGGAAATTATTTCTACTTTGACTTTTTCTAGAGCCTTGTTCATCAGTTTTGTTACTTCTGTTGTTAGCACTTCAGAGAGTCCAGGTGGGTGACTTTTGGATTGTTTCACCTCATTGCTTCCAGGTAAGCTCAAAGTGGGGATTGTATTTGCATCTTGTTTAAGTGTCTTCTCATTTTCTTTTCTTTTTTTTTTAAGGTTTATTCCTGGGTTGATGGTTGGAAATTGCTTATGTCGAGTAGCTTTATTTATTACCAGTATTCAGAACCCTTAGGAAATTACTACTATTCATAAATGTCCTCCAGGTGTAGCTGGCCTTTTGGTTTTGAGTCGGTTGCAAGATCCTCCCTCTTCAATTTATTCGGGATAAGAAGTTTCTGTTTACTTTGCTCAGCTGCCAGTTTTTTGGCACTGGACTATAGATTTTTTTTTTTAAAGACCCTTAGGCATATGTGTGTGTGTGTGTGTGTGTGTGTGTGTATACCATTATTAAGTACTCAGTTCACTAGTAAATATATTCATATTGTGATTCAGAATATACTGAGACATTTTATTTTTTGCAAAATTGAAACTTTTTACTCCTTAATGATTTTTTTTCTCTCTTCCACATTCTCTTGTATACACCATTCTATTTTGAGTACTCTGTATATTTCATAAGTGGAATTATCTAGTAGTTGTCTTTTTCTAACTTATTTCATTGTAGTATGTTCGTGTGTAGCATGTGTCAGGATTTCCTTCCTTTTTAAAGCTGAATAATACTCTGTTGTATGTATATATCACATTTTGTTTATCCCTTTGTCCAGGGATGGATATTTGGGCTGCTTCCATCTTTTGGCCATTACAAATACTACTGTTAACATCAAAGTGAATGGATCTGTTGAAGAGTCTACTTGAAGTTTGATACATATGTGTGTATGCCTGGAAGTAGGATTGCTAGATCATATGGTAGTTGTATTATTAATTTTTTTGAGAAACTGTCATAATTGTTTTACATAATGGTTGTACCATTTTATAGTCCCAGCAGTCCACAGAGGTTCTAGTTTATTTATATCTTTGCTAATACTTGTTATTTTCCTTTTATATATTCAATACTAGCTGTCCTGATGGGTGTGAGGTGATAGGTCATTGTGGTTTTGATTTTTGTTTCTCTAGTGGTGTTGAACGCCTTCATATGCTTATTGAACATTGTTTATCATCTTTGGAGAAATGTCCTTGTCCTTTGCCCACTTATGAATTGGGTTTTTTGTTGTTAGATTTCTGTATCTATTTTGGATATTAATCCCTTCTCAGATCAATGGTTTGCAAATATTTTCTCTCATTTGTAGGTTGCCTTTCACTCTTTTATGTCCTTTGATACAAAGTGTGTGAGTTTGATGTAGTTCCACTTGTCTATTTTTATTTTGTTGCTTGTGCTTAGTATCATTGAGTCTTAGTTTGGGTCTTTAATCCACTTAGAGTTCATTTTGTATATGGTGTAAGATAATGATCTAGCTTCATTCTTTTGCATGCAGACATCCAGTTTCTGGCACCATTTGGTGAAGAGGCTGTCCTTTTCCCATTCAATGGTTTTGATACCCTGTTAAAGATTTTTAGAGCATGTTTGTGAAGGTTTCTTTCTGGCCTTCTCTTCTGGTCCAGTAGTCTAAAGGTTTGTTTTTATGCCAACACTATAATTAATGTTCTGATTACTGTAGCTTTGTAATGTTTTGAAATCATGAGGTGTAAGATGTTCAGATTTGTTGTTTTTCAAGATTGATTTGTCTCTTTAGGGTCCCTGAATAATAGTCCATATAAATTTTGGATGGATATTTCTATTTCTGAAAAGAATGCCATAACAATTTTGATGGAGATTACATTGAATCTGATAGATCACTTTGGATGGCATTTTGTATTTTTTTTAATACATGTTTGCTTTAATTAATATATGATTACTTTCAAGAGGGGAGTTGATATAACAGGTTAATTTTCTTTCATGCCCTTCCCTTGTGCTCCCTCCCCTCCTTTTTTCACTTTGGGTGGTACTGACATCTTAACAGTATAGAAAAAGTTCTCCAGTCCATGAATATGAATATCTTTTGATCTATTTCTGAATATCTTCAGTTTCTTTCAGCATTATCTTCCAGGTTCTTTTCATATACTTTCATATTTAGTCCTTTGACCTTATATTTTCTTAAAGCATGGTGCAGTATTTTGGGCAGTGCAAAAAGAAGACTGAAGCTTTTTTTTTAAACTCCTAAAATGTCTTTCTTTAAAAAAAATCTATGTAGTGGCAACTTGATAAAAATATTACCATCAGATATTTAATTACACAGCAACAGAGTAAAGAAAAAATACAGTTAGAAGTTATACAAAATAAATTTACAATTTTAAAATTAGAATACATAAACTTTTTTCAAATGAACAGAAGACAGAGGCTTTTTAATTTTATAATTGCCTCAGATTTTTAGATGAGTTAATTCTTCCATTTTAATATTTTAGCATTTAAAAAGCATAATTGAAAATAACTGATGAGTAATGATAAATAGATAGTAAACTGTTTCAAGGTGGTGGAAAAGTAAGAGCACTAAGATTCCACGGTGTCTTTTTCAGATTAACAGAAGGGTCCAGTGAACTCAAATAATAATTTTTTGTCTGTTAAAAACATTTCTTAAGCTGGGTGTGGTGGCGCATGCCTGTAATGGGAGCACTTGGTCACGTGAGGCAGGAGGATTACCATGAGTTTGAGGCCAGCCTAGGAGACCCTGTCTCAGAAGACACCCTCATTGCCCCCCCCCCGCAAAAAAGTTTTTTTTGTTTCTCGGAAGATTTCTAAAACTGTGATTATTAAAATATCAATCATTAAAAATAGAACTACTCAGGAAAGAAACAGAAAACTAAAACTTGGCCCAGTGGATCTTTGTAATACACCAAAGTTTAAAAGATAGGAGTCCTTTGTTGTTGTCACCCCCACACTGCCATCGTGAGGTAACTAAACACATCTTTCTTTATCTTTAAGGCTTTGGGGGACCAGATACTGTTTGTAAATCGTCCAGATAAGAAGAAAATACTTTTCTTCAATGATAAGAGCTGTCAATTTTCTGTGGATGAAGGTGAGTCTTTCTGTATAGATATTTTCTTTAATTTGCAAATATATCACAACTTTAGATTGCTAAAAGTTATAACATTCCTATTGCAGTTAGTTTAAATGTTATAATACTGCTTTTTTCATTATTAGCATTGCCATCTCCTTAGAACATATCTAATAGTCCCCATGTCTGACATGTTGTTTCTTAGGATATAATTAGAAAAGTTTTAATTAGGTGTACTTAAAATCACAGTATAGCAGTTTGTAATTTATAGCTCAGTTGTAGTAAATGGGGTTATTTCTTTGTTTGTAATTTTAGGAATGTAATTTCATGTCTTGATATGAATGCTTGATGTAGCATGAGAAAAAAGACCAAACTTTTATTGGTGACTGGTATTCTTTTAACTTATGAATCTTTTAATTATGAAATTTGATAAGGAGATAATATTTTCTTTCTGGCTGTTGTGGATTTGGGTGCTAAGCTATGTTGATCTTCAAAATGTATGATACTTATATTTTGGAATTTAATTATAAAATTTTGTCAATATTTGTTATGTAAAATATAAATAAGGGATTAATGATGAGAAATTTCTTTGCTTACTCAGATAGAAATTCCCATTTAAGCAAGTATGGTAGTAATTTACTCAAATTTGTGTTTGAAGTTTTATAAAATAATAAGAGTTGTGTAGCACTTTAATTAAAAAATTTCAAAATGATTCCTATAATAAAATATCTGATTATATAGCAATGCATAGAATAAAATATTAGAATAAAATTCCAAGTGGCGAATTGCAGTGACCTGCACAGTAGTCAAGTTGTCGCTGCTTTATGGCATTATAAAGAGATTCCATTGAATGAGTGATTTTGTATAACAAATGTACTTACAAGTCTTGTCCCTTTAGTAGCCAGTAAATGTCTGAATTATGATTTTGTAATTTGTGCAGTAACCTTGAGGGTTTTTTTATATATTATCTGGCCTAAAGATATTTAGGCTGTGCTAGTAGCTAGGGCTTTAGTAAACATGAAGTTACTTTGCTGGTCATGATTTGTCTTAGGAAGTAAGATGTATGTTTTTTATAATCTTTTTTTTGGGGGGGGTACCAGGGATCGAACTCGGGTCCTTGCGCTTGTGAGGCAGGCGGCAGAATGTTTTTGATAATCTTAATCAAGAACCCCCATGTATAGGTGGTTGTTGATAAATGCCTTGTTAAGTAGAAATTTATAGAACAATTAGTTGGTCAGTGCTGTTTCTAATAATAATTTCTTTTTTTTTTAATGTATAAAGAGGCAGTGAACTACTTGTGTATATGTTGGTAGTAGTAGGTGCCTCCTGCGCAGTTTTGGGTACTGCTTAGCAATTTTTTGTGATTGCAGGTTTAGTTTTATTTTTTAAATTATTTTAATTGTATGGGGTACAGTGATATATAGGTAGAGTATAATTAAGGCTAGTTAATAGTTACATTCTTTAAACATTTTAAAAATTTTGAATAACATAATTGTATCTGTGAGGAATCTCACAGATTGTATCTCTGGTACAGTGATATATAGGTAGAGTATAATTAAGGCTAGTTAATAGTTACATTCTTTAAACATTTAAAAAATTTTGAATAACATAATTGTATCTGTGAGGAACTGTGTTATTTTAATACATGTACAGAGTATAGGATTCATCGAGGAGGTGACTTCTTATGGAAAACTCAGGAGGACACAGGGTCAACTCTGTAACTGGAGAGAAGCAAAGCACTGAGAGGACGGCCATCTGCTTAGTAGTTTTGTGCTGCTTTTAGTCTCCTTGACTTGAGATCTTGTTTCTATATATTTTGCTTTTTATAACTGTCAAATAAAAATATTTGATTCTTCTAAGTTAAAAAACGAAACAAATAAAAAAACTCCCAAGAATAACTTACTACATTTTGAGATAAATGTACTTAGAAGACAACTTACCACAAGTCTCACGTGTTCTAATGGTAGGATCGTAGGATAAAAAAGCATCTCTTTTTGTGCTTCCTCTAGTTCCAGTTGCTTTCTTTTGTGGCATTTGCTTACCTCGTTTTATTTTGGGTTCTTCTGCTGTTTTTCCATATTGTTAAACAATATGCTGATGCTGTTGTTTCTGGATTTTTCAACTTTAGACATTGTCTTATGATGTTCTTACCATCTCTCACTGGTCTACTATCCATCCCATTTCTCCTAATACAATCTCTCCATTATTTACCTTTTTAGACAGCTTATTTACATTCTCAGTGGGAAGTTCAGTGTTAAGTCTGCTCTGCAGATGGCAGCATAGTGTAGAAGTCTGTCTAATTAGATGTTTCACTGGAAGCTAGTGGTTGTTTGAAAAGAGATTGCAGTAGCACTGTGAGTGTAGTTTAAAACCTTAGGAATTCCTTTTTATTTATTTTTATGATTCTAGGGAGTGAGCCCAGGGGCTCACTCATACTAGGCAAGCTTTCCATCACTATATCTCCAGCCCTTTTCTTTTTTATGGTAAGACAGGGTCTAAGTTGCTCGGGTTGACCTCAAATGCAGTCTTTCAACCTCAGCTTCCTAAATAGCTGGGTTTACAAGTGTGCATTGCTGTGCATAGTTAGGAGTTCTTAATAGTATTTCATTGGCGATGTAGTAGGAGTTCACTTTGTGTTTAGTAGTGGTAGGCCCATTCTCTCCTTTATGCTTTCTGTGTGTGCCATTGTTTAACTTTTGTTTTTCCTGTTTGTGTGGCTTTTACTTTTTACATTTGTGTTCTTTAATATTACCCTGTTTTCATTTGCCATTTCATATGGCCTTTGTTGATCTAAACTCTTCCCCATTTTCTTATTGCTTGGCTGATAAGGACAAAAGGAGAATTTTCATTAATTTAACCACCCCCATCTCCACATTAAAAATAATCTAACTTGTTAGTAAAATCTCACATATCCAGGAACAGATATTTTATTCTTCTAGTTTATTTTTCCTGCATTAGCAATATTCTATAATGAAATATGATTATTTGCTATTCCACTGTATGTACCTGATGAATAGATTTTAAAATAATAGTGATATCCCAAATATTCTTCCTTATATGATACTTTGGATGTGTGTATTTTTTATGTCAATAAATAGCCATGGAAATAAGGAAGATACTTTTGCCTCTTAAAAATCTTTGTTGTTGCTGACTTACTCAATGTATAGTAAAATACCATCCTAGATTTCCTAATTCTGAACCATTCTGAACACCAATGGAATAACCTTTACTTGGCTTTATATATTTCTAGATTCTTCATACCAACATATTTTGGATTTTTACTTTACTGTGTTCAATTTTCTTTTGGCATGCTTTGTAAGATTTTAGTTATAGGTAGTATCTGAAATCCATAAAACGAAAAGTACAGTTTTTCTTTCCTTACTTTTTTCCATTCCTTTCTCAGGAACTATTAGATTCTTTAAAATCTGAAAGCATATACTCATGAATGTATGGCTGAACAACATTCTTAATGGCTTCCTTGGTGTGGTCCTTGTTTTAAGTTTTTTATCTTGTGGATCAACTTTGATATCTTCTCACAAAATCACCCATCAATTTTTGGGGCGGAGGTGGTGGTACTAGGGATCGAACCTAGGGCTGTCACACTGAGCTACAGATTTTTAAAATTTTTTATTTTGAGATGATCTCATCAAGTTGCTAATTGCCCGGGTGGTATTTGAATTTGTGATTCTCTTACCTCAGCCTCCCACAGTGCTGGGAATATAGATATGTGCCATCACGCTTTTAAAAAAAATCTTTATTAAGTTTACTGGTACATTTTAGCTATACAGTACAGCTACATTCATCATTGGGATCTTGTACCTTTACGTGACTTATCTTGGTTCTTATTTTTCCCCATTCCCAGCCCTCCCTTCACTCCTTCCACCCTTCCCTGTTTACAAAGACATTGTTTCCATGTTTTTCCTTTTCTCATATTTTTTTCTTTTCCCTTTTTCCCTTTCTCCTACCCCTCCCACTTCCTCTACTCCTTTAGACCTTTTTTCCTATTACACAATACCAATTATACATTATTATCCTTACATACACTTAATTTTTTCACATCAGAGAAACTATTCAGTATTTACTCATATGTGACTTAGTAATTTTACTTAAGAGTATGGCCTCCACTTAGAGTATAACATCCACTTAGCTATAAGAGTATATAGCTTAAGAGTATAGCATCCGCATAGTTATAAATATCTCTAGTTTCTTGTTCTTTATGGCTAAGTTGTACTCCATTTTATAAAACAAAACAAAACCACATTTTCTTTATCTGTTCCCAGATAATGGGCAAATTGGGCTGTTTCCAAATTTTAACTTTTACAAATTGTGCCACTATAAACGTGGATGAGCATATATTGCTGTGATGTGATTCTTTTAATTCTTTTGGGAAGATAACCAGCAGAGGAATAGCTGGATCAAATGGGACCTCTAAAACTTACTTCTTTGAGGTATCTCCGTATTGATTTCCACAGTGGTTGCACCAGTCTGCACGCCCATCAACAGTGAAGAAGGGTTCCTTTCTCCCTACAATCCTGCCAGCATTGTTATGGTTGATTTCTTGATAGCAGCCATTCCTTCTGGGGTGAGATGGAATCTCAGCGTTGTTTTCATCTGCATCTCTTGAATGACCAGTGATGTTGAACATTTTTTCACATGTTTATTTGCTGCTTTTACTTCTTTGTCTGAGAAATGTCTGTTCATTTCAGATACCCATTTTTGAATGGGGTCTTTGTGTTTGGGCGTTCTGACTTTTTTTAGTTTTTTATATATTCAAGATAGTAGACCTTTGTCTGAGGAATAGCTGGTAAAATTTTTTTCCCACATTGTGGGTTGTCTTGTAGCTCTGCTTATGATTTTTCTTGCAATGCAGAAGCTTTTTAAAAAGATGAGATCCCAGTTATTCATTTTTTGTGCTAGTTCCCATGCTGCTGAGAATTTGTTCATAAAGTCTTTTCCTATGCTGATACCTTCAAGAGTTCTACATAACTTATCTTCCACCAAGTCTAATGTTTGTGTTTTAA